ATGCACTCTTACGCCTTAGCTAGCCAGATAAACATCACAACACTTCTGTCTGCTGCTCTGCAGCTACTCATCTACGCTGCCTCAGCGACACACTAAATCTGCGTGTTCGCTCTCACCTCTACGTCGCTCTACTCCCACCGGCCGTAGACAGTATACATCACCGCGCGTCTGCGTCGCTTTGTTCTATTCCATCTTCTGTGTCATTTGTCTGACGCTCAGCTCGTGTCCCGCAGGCGAAAAACAATTAAAAATAGCACGTTCGCGTACGTCTGTCGCTTCCAAGTACGTGTCGGCAGGCAAAACAAGCCAAGTTGCGCCTTTCTAGGACGGAGCGGTGCGCTGGACAGTGTGTTGGCGTCGGTGGCGACAGCGCCGCAGTTATGCGCTTCAACTTTCCACAGTTGTTGCACCATTAGCCAAAGCACATTTAGTTAGTTGTGTACATATGCAAAAGTTAGTGGCACCCAGGAAGATCATCGTTATCTTAGTCGTTGTCCTCTGCACGCTTTTGTTTGACTTGTCTATGTGATAGCTTGTCATTGGCCAGCAGCTAGTCTTCGAAGGAATGTTCGCGTGCATGAGAGTTGGATAATATTTGTCAATTGTTATTGTTGTTATAACAGAAATAAGTTATTTCTTTGTTCTTGCAAGTGATTTTGTGTCAAGGAATTTATCCTATATGAGAATTTTTAGTCGGGGGATATATGGAATGAGAGCGACGAAGGTAGAGTTCGGCGTTAAGAAATTGTCGACAAGAAATATTTATTCGGTGACACACTATTTGATTTTCGGTTTCAGTTTACTCTACTATAATTTTTTAAGAAGCATTAGACTTGTTTTTTTTTTTTTAAAAAGCTTTTTCAGAGCTTTTGCCGAAGAAAGATACTTTAAGATCTGATGCCGAGCATATTATCTTCATTGAAGAACTCAAATCATAACGCAGATGTATTTACCCGTTCATCAGTGAGGTTAATGCAATATATAAAAGTCGTCCGTAAGAATCAAGCCCGACAAGTAAAAGGTAAAAATAGCACTGTAGATATATATCTTTCAAACAAGGGCTTGCAACAATTTTTTTAATTTTAATTGCTGATTTGGTTCCAACGGTAGAGTAAATGTTCAATAATTTTGAAAATATTACACGAAGGAACCGACAGCGAAGCCGTAATCACGATAGAATAAGTCAACGATTGTCAATACCGCTATGAACTATAAAGATCCTAGAGAAATATCGAGTGGTTCAATTATATTCGATGGCAAACCATTTACAACGGACTATTTCAAGACATGGGGCAGTATATGGCCGAATATGGGAATTACTTGTTCTCAAGTCCCAATGGTAAAGTTCAAAAAGAGCTTGGCGACTCACTTTGTCTTTACCGATCTCATTTCAAGGTTACGAAACGTTAAGTTAATTATACCCTAAGCAGGGTATATGTATTACTTAAGTTTGCCGCGAAGTTTGTAACACCCAAAAGGAAACGTCTGAGACCCTACAAAGTATATTATAATTGATCAGCGTGACGTATGATTTAATTATGTCCGTCTGTATGAGTATACATGCGAACTTGTCTCTCAGTTTTTGAGATATCGACCATAAATTTTACATAACTCCTTTTCTCACCAGGATACTGTCGATTTGTCGAAACCGCCGATATCGGACCACTAAATCAAATAGCTGCCATATAAACTGAACGATCGGAATCAATGGATTTGCCGTTTGACGGAATATCTTCAAGAAGCTTGGCATAATTTATTGTATAAGGCAATAATGCAATCTCCGAAAAAAATTTTCAGATTGGAGCATATATCAGTCATACAAGCTGACCGAAAATTCAAAATCAAGATAAAAAAGCTTTTTATACTTATATATGCTATGAAAACTGCAGCTGTGAAGTGTATTATAGCTTCAGTGTAGCCGAAGTTAACATCTTGCTTTTGCTTATGAAAAAACTATATCGTAATATGAATTCATAGCAATAATTATGTACTTCTTAAAATAAACAAGTCTTAAAGAAAATGTTGCTTTTCAATTAATTTAATATTATGTCTGGACAAGCGAAGTTATGTATACTCTTTAAAACTCTATCAAAGAGTTTTAACTTTATTGATGTGAGACTATTAAGAGAAACTCTATGTTATTCACCAGCGTTTGGCTGAGTTGAAGAAACAAAACTCACTCAACTAAACTTAATTCGTATTGCAAACTCAAATGGAGTAAATGAGCACTGAAACAGCTGTGTATCAAAACACCACACTCACGGCCTTCAGGCAGTGAGCGCTTATATACAAAAAATCCAAGAGAATATTTTGAGCAAATAAGCTCATAAGCTCAAAAGCCTGCTAGTGAGTGAGCAAATGAGTACGAAACCACATTGGGTAGACGAGTGTGCTCAAAAAGTGCAAAGACCTGAAAATGACGGGGCATGCAGCGAGCTGTAAACAAAAAACACAAGGAAATGGAACAGTGCTGGTAAAAGAACTTAGTAGGAATTATGCAAAAGAGATGTGCAGCAAAACGGGGAATATGTTCAGATAGAGGAACATGTGTATATGTAGCTTTGCCTGTGTGCATGTACATATGTTTTTACATATGCTCTTATGCATTCGTAAGTTTTTCGAATTTTATGAACACATACATATGTATTTATCGGTGAATGTATGTATGTATGTAAGGCATGTGTATGTGTAAGGTGGAGAAGAAGCTTGATAGCGCGTGTGGGTTGCTTATAAGAATATGTTTGCTCATACATATGTACATAAGTATGTATGTGCGTAAGGAAACAGATACGGACAATTATTTACATATGTAAATATCTATGCACTTACACATGTTCATGTGTTTTTAAATGAAAATAATAAGTGACAAATAAACAAAAAATTATTTATTATATAACAGTAATATCAGATTCCTTTTTACAAAACCCAATTCATATCAGAATTTGATTAAAAAATTCCAGACAGGTAAAAAAAAAATATTTTGGAAGCATTTCAGTATCGATTTATAACTTTTAAATAACTTACATTTTGCTACTTAAATAAATAATAATTTTTTTTAGATAAAAATGGTTAATTTTGTAATAAAGATTTAATTTTTAATCCAATTTTGAGATTAAAAACAAATCTTTAAATTTTTAGTTTCGATTTTGGGAAAATACAGATATTCCAAACAATTTATTTTTTAATTTTAATTATAAACTTCGGATTAAATTTTGTTTCATCTGGTATTTAGGATTAAAAAATTAATTGTTAAGTCATTTTTAAAAAATAAGAATTTTATATTTTTATTTTTTTATCCGGCTTTTGAGATTAAAATTTTTAAAATTATTTTTAATTAAGATTTTCAAAATTGCAAAATAAAAAATAAAAAATATAATTCAAATGATAAATCAATTATTATTTTTATACATTATTTGCAGCCCCGATTATACCCCAACCCCCCCCCGCCAATTTTAATAACACATCTAGATTCATTCATGTTCGCTATTAAATAATATAAATATAAAAACAAATGTATTTAATATAAAAATTCTAAAAAAAAATTGTTTTATAAAATACATATATATATACAAGTTCATACATACATACATATGTTCAATAATTGTTTGTTCAGAAATAAAATATGTCGTCCTTCGAGTTTTTTAATTTTAAATTTAATGTTTATTTTAATTTTAATTAGAGCTTTAATTGTAGTTTTATTTTTAATTTAAGCTTATGCTTTTTTATATACTAAACTTACTATACTTTAAATTTATATTTTAATTTTAATTTTAATATTACTGTTATTATTATTATTATTTACTCTTGATTTTAATATTATTTTTACTTTTGATTTTTATTTCAATATTACTTTTGATTTAAATTTAAATTTTACTTTTGATTTTAATTTTATTTTTAGTTTTAAGTTTAATTAATTTGATTGAGTTTTTATTTATGAAATTATAATAATATTATATTATCTTACTTTTATTTTATTTATTAAATTTAATTTATTTTAATTTAATTTAATTTTATGTTATTTTGTTTTTATTTTATTTAATTTAATTTTGTTTTTTTATTTTATTTGATTTAATTTAATTTTATTTTATTTTATTTTATTTTAATTTTATTTTATTTTATTTTATATTATTTTACTTTATTTGGTTTTTTTTTGTATATTATTTTCTATTTTATAAATAATTATTGATGCCTTCAATATATGATTTATTTATTATGTTAACAGTTCCATTGTTAAAAAATCACCGTCATTCTCTTCATTTTCATTTTCGAGAAATAAATCCATTCGCTAATACCTTAACCCCTACAGCTTTTAAGTGTACACAGTTAATGCAGCAAGTTGAGGAACGAAACATGGCAGCTAAAAGCCGGTTTTTACCTACGTCTATTTTCCAATAAGTTTCAATTCTCATTTCATTTCACTTTTCAAGCGCTCAGCATTCATAAACACACAAGAAATAGAAAAAGTTGGCGAAAAACAAAACAAAATAAATAACAAATTGCACTGTTCCATTGCACAAATTCCCAAACAGCAAACAGAAAGTGCAACAGCAACAAAAAACTGCAGCGCCAACACCAGCGTATGGCGACACCAACACCAATGCAATGTTCGAAAATTGCTAACGCGCCGGAATGCCGCAAATGTTGGAACAAAATAACAAAATAGTAGCGGCATTGTGGTAGGCCGCTGTCGGCAGCAACATGCACAGCTAACAGGCTGTCTGTTACTTAACAGCGGAAAGTGCTGTTAGCGGGTTGAGCAACGTGAGCTGCTTATTGAGCGCTGGTAAGTGAACGCTGTAGTGCTAAATTTCTGTTAACAGTTGCTAAAGCAGCATGTTGTGTCAATTAACAGTCATCAGCCGGTCTTGTACAGCACATGGTAAGGAAGTTTTTTTTTGCTAGTTGATTTCTTTGTTGGTGTTGCTGCTGCAGCGGCTGCCGCTTTGCGCGCTGTGCATTGTGTGCTTGTGGCCATGCCAATGTGGTTGTTAGCTGCTGTTGCTGGTGTTGCTATTGCCGGCTTTTTTCGATTTTCTGCTGTTTGGTTTTGTTCGAAAATCTGCGCGTCTCAGTTGAAGTGAGCCAGCCGTTTCGGCAGTTCGTTCGTACGTTGGCACGTTCGTTATTGGTTCAACATCTCGATCGTTTGTTTGTTTTATCGCTGGCTAGTGGCGTAAAATTACGTTTTGTCGTCGTTGTTAAAACGCAATTGGCGCGAGTTGAAATTTCTTTATGTTTTTATGTTTACGCGAAAAAATGTTTTTTTTTTAACGAAAGTTGTTGAAGTGATTGCTTACTTTTTACTGTTATTTGTGTTATGTTAAATAGCGGGAAAAACACAGAAATGTTCTTTTGCTGATTTTCAAAAGAAGAAAGTTTTTAGTTTTGAATAAATAGAAAAAATTATAAAAATTTAAAAATTTTGAATTGGTAGCTTTAAAATACTGTTAGAAATTATAATAAATACAAAATTTCACACACACTTACATACATATTTGTCGACCAGTGCCTGTGCTTTGCGTTTTTTGCAATAATTCGCGAAATTTTTTTGAAAGTTTGGCCTAAAGCGCACTTCTGCTAAAGGTAATTCTCAATTTCAGCTTTTTTTATTTTTAAAAATATGTGCCTGCCACATGCATCACCACCTATTGCTGTTGCGCGCGTAAAAAGTTCAAAACACTTGCGAAAGTTTTGTGCGGAAAAATTGTTTGTTTGAAAAAAAAAAAATTACAAAAAAAATTTGCTGCGCGCGCCAACAACTCAATTGTCAAGTGATTACGTGCGAATTTGTTAACTTCCGCATTGCCGGTTGCATCGTTGTTGCACAAACGCCACCACAGCAGCAGAAGTCTAAAACCAATTTTCTGTTGTTTAAATGTACTTTTTGCCATATTCCTGCATTCGCCAAACAATTTTTATGCAAAAGGTTGCAAAAAAAAAAAAAATCCAAACATTGCCTGCGCTCGGCAACCAGCATCAGCTGTGCTGGGTATAGAAAGCGCGAAAAATAAAAAAAAATCTTTGTAAACAACATAGCAACAGTGTTGTTGTGCCTTGCGCATCCAGGCGGCCTTGTCGGCAGCCACCCAAGCTGCCGCACAACCGCAGCCGCCACAACACTGGTGTCCAGATATAAAGTTTCGGTGGCGTCGAAACGCGTGCGCGTGCTTTTGTGGTTCTTTCAATTTTGCGCTGTTGGTGTTTTGGACTCTGCACATCTACAATTGCTGTACGTGTTGTTGTTGCTGCTTGTGTTGTTGTTCGGCCGCTGTTGTCTATTTGTGTATATTGTATGTGCACGCCGCAAATAAACTAGGAAAAGCTGAAAGGAAAATCGGCAGCAAAGCAAAAGCCAAAAAGTAAATGAGAGACGAGAAAAGGAAGCAAGGACGAGACGCTGCAAAGGATGGTGCACACAGAAAAAGGATGTGCAAAACAAAAGACTAAAAAGTGGAAAGTAAATGGAGTCGAGCAATTTATAAATGGAAAATGAGAGCAAATAACACAGCAGAGCAATGACTTCGTTTAAGTTGAAGTCTGCTGGCAGGATCCACAGCATAACAGGAAAATATAACGATTGAACTAGCAGAATATAGAAAAATTAAAAGCGTTGCAAATCAACAAAATTGAAATACTTACTTTTGTTTATACATATATACATATGTATGTATGTGCAAGTATGTGTGTGCGTGTATAACGGCTTTCCACCTCACTTGATTTATTGTCATTTAGAGCGGAATTCGCATGCGTTTGTTTTATTGCACACAATCGGATGTCATGCGAGTCCATTTAGATGCTGCTCAGTTGTCGGCTACAAGCCGCTCTCGCTCTAATGTCCCAACTTGACTTGCAATTTTCTGTGTGCTTTTTGCTTTGTGTTGTTTTTGTTATATACACAATAAAAACGGCTGAATTTCACGTATGCTGTGTGACATTTTTTTCTTTAATCCCACACATATACACACGCATGCACTGGCTACCGCCGGAAATCACCAACTGGCAAGTGCCATTCTCCTGAGGATAACACCACACATGCACACAAACATACATGCAATATACATATATATTGTACATATATATTTACGGATTATAATACATATTGTATGAGCCTTGCTGCCCGCCTTCTACAATAACCACAGCCAAGCAACCAACGCCAGGTCGTCATGCCGCCACTTGCTGCGGATGTGTGCTCCTAGCGCAGCCTGCCACTGTCCGCATATACACACACATATGATTCTAGTACGTAACTAAGTATCCACAACGGCATTAGTGTAGTCGCGTGTACAATACTGGATTCAACGTATTGCTCATGTGGTTGTTGTTGTTATGCCTTACCTGCACTCATAAATTTATTATACTGGATTTTCCGGGCTTATTGTCAAAGTTGATTTCATACTCTTATTGGATTATGCGCAAATGATTCGCCAGTGCTCAGACCGGTAAGTTTAGTGCATCGATGCATGTAATAAATGAAAAAAAAGTATTACGTATTTATTTTTTATTAATAATATACACACATATGTACATGTGTGTATCTGCTGCTTGCATGTGCTTTGGGTTTAGACACGATTTATATTTGCAAATATTTTATATCCACTTGAATTTGTGCATATTAAATATGTTGCATATTTAAAATTTATTTATATGGCCATCAAATGCGTTGCTAAATTCTATAATTTAATAAGCTATTTGTTGGATGGAAGCTCTAATGTTGTGTGCAGTTTTATGTGCTAAACACGTATTTATTAAACTAATCGGATTTTATTTGAACTTAAATGCATGAAAACTATTTTTTAGTTATATCGAATATTTTTAAATACTGGTGGGAGAATTTTCAGAACACTCAGTTTGTATAGAAACTGACTCAATATAATGAGAGCATACTCAGAGAGAGCTTTACTACATAAAGTGCCGGTATTTGCAAAAATATTTATTATCGATTAACCCTAATCATTTTGTAGATTATCGATTAAGAAATGAAGAAATATGAGGTAAAATACAATAATTTAAAGTCAATTTAACATGTTCGGTTCGAAATTTTCGGAATCAGTTTACTCTATATGTAATCAAAATTTTGAGCAATGATTAATATGCTACTAAAGTACTCAGTATCTCTTTAGATTAATCAAAACTTGATGTAGTTTCAGAGTATATACATATATGTATCTTGCTCGCGGTCTTCCCCTTGCTTTAGAGGGGAGTGCTGTTGCCTTTTTAATTTTCTTTTCTTGTTGTACATTTTCGTTAGTTGCTCACCTTTGTTTGATAATATACATACTCGTACAACATTTTCTTATTTTATAAGTTCTGCCAAATACGTCACTTGACGGCTTGCATTCTCTCTTCGATACTAAGGTTTGATTAGTTATGAGTTTGAAGCTCAAGTAATTAAAGGCTCACTTTTTACTCTTTGTATCGGTATCGATCTATCGATTCTTAATATAAGTATTGCATGAATTCTAAGTACTTATCCCTTATTCTCAATAATCGGTATCAAGTGCATGTACTGAATGACTTTTCAAAGCAATTTTTTGCCGATAAATAATTTACAATACTTTACTATATAATTTTCATAAAATTAATTAATTTTAATTTTTCGTTATGAAAATTGGTTTATGTGTACTATTTATCGATATATTTATATAATATATAAATAAAGTTGATATATCGACTTTGGAAATTCGATTAATTCGGTGTAAGATTCTTCATGAGATTTCCTAATATAATATATTATATGTTGACTCTGCTTGGCAAATAAACTGTATTATATTATGTAATAATAAATTGAAGGCTTATCGATAAAAAGTTTCTAGTTTGGAGGTGAAATCGCAGCATTTAAATATGGAGATTATATTAAATAAAAAAATATATTTCGTAACAAAAACAGTATTTTTGCATTTCAACCAACATGTATATACCAGAGCTGATAATTTTGAAAAAAAAAGTAATAGTGGTATAAAATTCATTGAAAAGGGAAGAGAATGTATCAGAACTGAAATAAGAATAACTTACAGGCGTTCTGGGGTCGGAAAGTGGTCGGGAAAGAAGTAGTAGAGTTTGAGGGGTAAAAAACAATTAATCTCGCTTTCCGGAAAAACTACTAGTCGTATGGAAAAAAGTGATTGGCAAAGTTGTAGTTAACAAGAAGATCTTCAACTTTTGTCTTAACATTAACATTTTTTTCTTTTATAACCTTAAAAAGTGTATAATACTTTTTAAAAATATTTGCAACACACTGGAATACAAAATTACAAGTAAAACAGAAACAAATTAAGAATTGAAAATTCTACATTTAAAAAAAAAAGGACTATCTATCGACTAGTCTCCCTTTTTTCGATCTTCAATTAACCTTTAACATCGTTTTGTACGATTCGCTTTAGTAAATTCATAAATCGAATTAATGTAAGAAAAATAATTTCCACGTTATTTAGGCTAGTTTGAGCAACCCTTTAACCCTACATACAATTTTGAAATAAATATCTTTCTTATATTAAAGATTATGAAATATTTTTCGTTTAAACCTTTTGTTTATCGTTTATCAGTTAAGTAGCTAGGCTAACTATCTTGGCAACGTTAAAAGATTTTCAGAAACGCGTAATGGTTATGTACTGTTATAATATATGAAAAATGTCGTAAAAGATGTTTCATTTATCGATTACATATTATCTTTGCATATCGTTTATCGATTACATGTTATCGTTATATATCACTTATCGACTTTTTTCGTATATCGATAATTATTACGAAATCGAGATTTTATAACACTTTATATCCTATATATAATACTTATTTGCTGTCGCTAACTAAATATACAACAAATTATTTACTTAAAATAGCATTTTCACAAATTTTAATTTTGTATAGATTAGCTGAGTATTTACCATAAACATTTTTGGAAGAAGAACCCTCTTTTTATATCGCATAACAACAAAACAAACTCTCAAAACAAACTTTTCCGTATTAGTTTACAAAAGATACAAAATTAAATTAATATATCAACATTTCTTATCTACAAAATCTCTTGCTCTACCAACAAATAATACACACAACTATAAAAAATACGGTTTACCGTTTCAAATCGAAGAAGAGCTCTATAATTTACTCGTTCCGCTTAATGTATGTACATGTGACTAAGTGGAAAACCTGTTTTTAATAAAAAAAAGCAAAAACAAAAAAAGCAAATTCCTACGCATCGTCCAGACAGTTTTACACTGTTATCTTATCTTAATCAACCGATGCTTCGCCAACAATTCCATTATACGTTGATATATCTACACGAAAACTATCGAAGAAATTCAGACATCAACACTAATGATCTTTGAAAAATCACACCGAGTGGGTATCAGGTGTAGAATGAGTATGTGGATTACGAAGTGTTGGTGTCATTGATATTAACACTAGGTAACACGTATCAAAAACAAAAACAACACACACAAAAAAGCAAATTAACAAAAAGATGCCGTAAGAAAAATTCGAAAAAATAATGCACAGCTGAATGAATGGATGAAAGAATCAGTGAAACCTAAGCCAAAGTGAAGAATAAGAATGAGCAAAACAAAAGTATATCAGAAAAAGTGGAAAGT